TGGACGTGCCCCATGAGCAAAGGAACACTATCATTACGTATGAAGTCTATTTTGCTACACTTCCAAAACACGTCAAACTCTGCAGTTTAGATCAGGCCAGACAGGAAGTCAAACACAACTTTAAGAGCATTCAAGAGCATTAGTCTGTGGTGTTTCCATCTTCTCAAAAGCAGAAAAATAACACAAACAGTTAAAGAGTCCTACAGAGATGTATTTCCGTAGCCCACCAAGCCAGACTGAATAAATGTATTGTTTAGTCTGGCAACACTCCATTGACGGTTCTCGTTCGTGGGGCGGGTTCTGCTGTTGTCTTTCAAACAATCTCCGCATGCTACTGGACAACAAATGTGACATACTCACCGCAATGGATGTCAGTCAATGAGGCAGTTCACAGTTGAAGAAGGCGAACAAATATCCTTTTTCAGAATAAAGGACCTAATTACATCTATCTGCTCCTGGTTCAAATAAAGCCAAAGTCCAAATAGTCCAGAATTTATATGAAAGCCGTTTCAGACAAGCTGTCGCCATCTTGTTCCACTCAGTCGCATCATCCTGCCTACCAAATCAATAGAGCGCCTTGACTGGCCCACAAAGCTGATAGAGCACTGTGACACCTTTGTGGCTCACCATTGGACCAAACACAGCACTCCATTGGTTTGAAACCCAGATAGAGAGCTGTGATTCGCCAGCCAGAATGCTACAGGGGCCGCAGAGGTTCCAGTGGAGCGTCAATAGACCAAAGTTAGCAAAGCAAGAATTTGGCCGTGTTCGCTAGGCTAGTTTTTCCAGGTTGTTGGGTCCAGATATGCTGTGGCTCCATCTGAGCTGTTGTTTACTCTAGTTTTAGTAAAGCGTAGGTGGAATGAGACCTGCTCTATACGATGTGCAGCTCTCAATTAGCCCAGCTAACAATTTATCTGCAAACGTGTGAAAACCTCTGACGCTCCAGTGTTGGTCCAACTTTTCTGGAATTTTCAGATCATTTGCATTTTCCTCATAAAGGCACGCCTCTTTTTATGAGAGAGCCTCGATTAGCTTCACATCACGCTCAATGTGTTTTTCCTACACATTGAAGAATACTCGTTGGCAGGGTATTAACTCAAGCTTTTATCCCATCCCTCTTACTAGATGAAGGTCACTCCCGATATCTGCAAAATGACTTTTCTCTCCTCCCTTTCATCCTGCTCTTCTCCCATCCTCCACAGCAGGGCATGAGTCAGAGAATCTGACACCTCAGAGGAGATGGAGGAGCGCAGTATCGGGGGAGAAGGGAGGCAAATTGAGAGGCAAAGTGGGAGGGATGGACGAACTGATCGATATCTCTTAGAAACAAGGAACCCAAGACGATCCGGTCTGGCTCTGCTTCCTTTGACATGGAAGATACAGTATCAAACGTGGCAATTGAATTTGTCAGAGAACAGATGGCGCTGGAGTCCTCCCCCTTTTTAATCACAAATCTCAGCTGTACATTGTTCTTTATTTGGCATCAGAATGTGACTATTTCAAGCATTATTATGCTTAAGAGGCAGAGTTGATGGCGTGTTGCTTGGTATAAAACAACGCCAAGCGTGCTGAGCTGAAACTACATATTACATAAGCTCCACAACAAACTGAGCACAAACCCAAAAATAGTGCAGCCCCTGTTAAATATTTCAGGCGCTCACCAGCTGAAGGGGGATAAAAAGCCCTTATTCCCTCTCAGTTGCAACAGAAAAACACACACAGAGACATGCAGATGGCCAAATGAAAGAAAAAACCCTCCATTTAGTGCACTGCAGAGCAAAGTGGATTACTGTCACCAAGGCAGTCTTTTAGCTTTCTCACTTGATGTAAAGGACTTGCTCGCAGAGTGGTGTACTTAGTGTACACCTACCGATGCTTCCTTGTTCATTCTCAGTGTAGAACAGATGGAAAGAAAGCATCTTTATGCTGGAAACTTCTGAACTAAATAAATCGTGCTCATGAGACTAGATGCAAGACACGATGGGGGAGTCACGAGGCGTTGCTTAATCAATCCGCAGAGCCCAAAACAGTGCTGTCTTTTCATAGCGGGGACAGTCTGAGGCTTTGTCAGCTACTGGGTTCATCTTTGGACGGGGGTCACGCTATGTTTCCAGGGAAAAAGGATCTCTTTCTACAGGAACAACAGCAAAACAATCAACACTGGCTTGACACATCAACAAGTTGTCACAGTGAAATGTTGTTGAAATGAACCCAAAGCAGAACTAATAACGCAGAGAAAAGGTGTAGATGAGCCTCGAGGGTCTAGGTAGTGACACGCACAAGTTAATTGTTCCAAA